AAATCGTAAAAAAAAAAAAAATAAACTCTCACAGTTATGGCCAATTGCTTTGACAAAGGTACCAAGACAATTCAATGGAGAAGGAATAGTCTTTTCTTTTAATAATTTTATATTTTTTTAAGATTTTATTTATTTATTTGACAGACAGAGATCACAAGTAGGCAGAGAGGCAGGCAGAGAGAGGAGGAAGCAGGCTCCCCACTGAGCAGAGAGCCCGATGCGGGACTCGATCCCAGGACCCTGAGATCATGACCTGAGCCGAAGGCAGAGGCTTTAACCCACTGAGCCACCCAGGCGCCCAAGGAATAGTCTTTTCACCAAATGCTGCAGGGATAACTAGATATTAACAGGCAAGAGAATAAATCTGGATCCCTGCTTCATACCAAAACCAAAAATCAACTCACAATGGATCATAGCCCCAAACGTTGAGAGCTACAACTATAAAGCTCTTAGAAGAAAGCAGAGGGGCCGGATTAACTGGCGTTGGCAGTTCACGACGCAAGCAGGAATAAAGCAGGAACTGACTCATTGTTCAGTGTGGCTGGCCGAGAAAACAGGAAAAGCACTTCCAGGACACCTAAGGAAAATGGTGCCCTGCAGAAGCGTTTACATGGCAAACCTGACACCACTCTCCTTACAGACGGTTTGAAGGGAAGCCCTGAGCCGTCCTCTGGGAACTCAGATTTTGGGAGGGTTCCCACCATTCCCAGAAGTGATGAGAGAAGCTTGCTGAACATGAACTTGTACACTTGGGGCTCCACTGAGCTGCACTGGCCGACAGCACGTCACCCCTGTTGTCATAGCCGGTTGTGGCAGACTGAGCACGTCCTGTATGACTCCACTGGGGAAGGCCTCTTGGAAGCTGGTGCCTGGGGTCCTCAGACTTCACCCCACACGCCTTTGTGCTTCACTGAGCTCGCCCCGTAGCCCGTCACTGTGGTCGAGCAGAGCTGTGAGTACAACCAGCTCCTGAGTCCTATGAGTCCTCCTGGCAAATCACTGAAACTAGGGGTGCCTGGGGGGCTCAGGTGTTAAGCGTCTGCCTTCAGTTCAGGTCATGATCTCAGGGTCCTGGGATCGAGCCCCGCATCGGGCTCTCTGCTCAGCGGGGAGCCTGCTTCCTTCTCTCTCTTTCTGCCTGCCTCTCTGCCTGCTTGTGATCTCTGTCAAATAAATACATAAAATCTTTTAAAAAAAAACCCAAATAAATAAAACTGCTGAAACTAGGGTGGTCCTGAGGACCCGTGCCGCAACTAATATACTAAGAGAAATCCACTTGCTTTTCGGTAGCATATAGTCAAAGCAGATTCCCAGAATTCTACTGGACAAGTACATTCTGAATGCTTAGGACAGTGTGTGCATGTGACCCGGAGGCCCCCAAACTTGGCAGGGCAACATGGGCATCTGGGAGTTTTGCGCGCCCGCCCCAGGCTCACTGCATCAAAAGTTCAGCCAGTGGCCGGGCGTTTATTTCTTAGAAAACCTGACTTGTTGACCTGCAACTTTCGTAGAGCAGGACTTCCTGAACTTCTTGCCCCAGCAGCTGCTAATGGGCATGAATCACACCAGCTCAGCTTCCTGTCCTCTTCCAACCCACACACACCCTCCTCCCTCAGCTGCAGCTTGATCCAGTCCTTGCTGCTGGGGCGGACAAACCAGGTTCAGTGCCATTATCTAGGGTATATAAAGAAACAGTGTTGGAGAAAGATTTTTTTTAAAGCTTTTATTTATTTATTTGACAGAGATCACAAGTAGGCAGAGAGGCAGGCAGAGAGAGAGGGGGAAGCAGCTCCCTGATGAGCAGAGAGCCCGATGCAGGGCTCGATCCCAGGACCCTGAGACCATGACCTGAGCCGAAGGCAGAGGCCCAACCCAATGAGCCACCCAGGCGCCCCTAAGAAAGATGTTTTTAGTATCTTATGAACTTTAAAAATGCACGTAAAAGTGCCTTGTAGACATTAAGAACTTTACGAACATACTATATTACTGGGCTTAACAGGCAGATGTGTGCACCATAAAATACAGCAGCGTCTTTGATGTGATGCTTCCAGGGCAAAGTTTATACTTCCTGACAGCTCTCTGCTCTCCTCTAATTAAAAACTCACACGTTTAACTTTGGTTTCAGATTTCAGCTTTGTTGATCTTGAGATATAAGCATTATCTCCGTGTTAAGAAATAACTTCATCAGGGAAAGATCACAGATGCCTCACATTTAAACATCAGAACTCACTTTATGGGGGGTGCGTGGGTGGCTCAGCTGAGGAGGCGTCTGCCTTTGGCTCGGTCATGATCTCAGGGTCCTGGGACTGAGCCCTGCGTCGGGCTCCCTCGGTCTGCTTCTCCCTCTCTTTCTGCCCCTCCCTGTTCATGCTCTCTCTTGCATACTTTCTATCCAATAAATAAATAAAATCTTTTTTTTTTTTTAAAGAATTCACTTTATGACTGGTATCCTTTCCTCCTGAGCCCCTTCCCTGTACCCCCCACCCCCCAGCACACGGCACTGTCCTGTAACAATATACTTGTTTCACCTTCCCGAGAGCCCCTCAGGGCATGGGCAATCTTGGAACTCAAAAGAATCTTCAAAATTCAGTTGGACAAATAAGTTCTGAATTCTTAGGACAGTGTGTGCATGTGACCTGGAGGTCCCCGAACCTGGCAGGGCAACACAGGAGGACATATGGGGAGTTCTGCAGGCCTGCCCAGACTCACTGAATCAAAAGTCCTGCCAGTGGGGTGTGGGCCTTTTTTTTTTCTTAAGACTTTCTGAAGCAGACATGCCTGGCAGAACCCCACAGAGGCTCTACATCTGGTGTGAACAAGCATGTCAGAAGGCAGGCAGGTGAAGGGGATTTGTGGAACAGTCTTTAGAAATTGGAGGCTAAGGAACGAGAATTCACAATCTTTTTTCTTTTTTTAACATTTTATTTATTTATTTGTTAGAGAGAGAGAATGCACAAGCAGTGGGAGCAGCACACTCCCCGCCGAGCAGGGAGCCCGATGTGGGGCTCCATCCCAGGACCCTGGGATCATGACCAGAGCCAAAGGCAGACACTTCACTGACTGAGCCACCCGAGTGCCCCTCTTTTCTTTTTTTTTTTTTTTAAAGATTTTATTTATTTGAGAGAGAGAGATCTCAAGAGAGAGCATGGGGAAGAGAGGAAGCAGCAGGCTTCCCGCTGAGCAGGGAGCCCGATTTGAGGCTCTCTGAGCTGAAGGCAGACACTCAACTGACTGAGCCACCAAGCTCTCCCAGGAGAATTCACAATCTTGACATCACAAATAGTTCTGAGTGGCACAAGGACTATGACATTGGAGCCAAAGAGAAGAAAGTATAACTTAGTGTGCCACTTGCCTATGTGGTGAATAATATCTGCAAAGTCTAAAATTATAAACCCTACTAAATAGTTTTCAGGAGGCTTAATTAGTCAGATAACAGTACAGATATTAAACTTGACAACATAAAAGTACAACTGAAAGAACTGGAAGGTAGGAGGGAAAGAGAAAGTGGATAAAGGGGACGGATGCTAACACCCTCCTCTTATAAGGAGAGAGGCCTGGAGATCCGGTTTAAAGTTGATGGTACAAAGAAACAGAGATATAAGGTTAACATTTAAAGTCATAACAGTAGGGGCACCTGGGTGGCTCAGTGGGTTAAAGCCTCTGCCTTCAGCTCGGGTCATGATCCTAGGGTCCTGGGATCGAGCCCTGCATCGGGCTCTCTGCTCATCAGGGAGCCTGCTTCCTCCTCTTTCTCTCTCTGCCTGCCTCTCTGCCTACTTGTGATCTCTGTCTGTCAAATAAATAAATAAAATCTTTCAAAAAAAATAAAGTCATAACAGTAGCCAATAAAAGAACTAAACGCACAGTTCAATAATACTAAGTTGGGAAGCAGAGAGGCAAAGTCACTTGCTCAAGTTTAGCTGGCGAGGAGATGTGACTACGGGTCCTGCATGCTCCAGCCTCGGACTGTGCCAGGAAGTAACCTGCCCAACGTCACACACCTGCTTAGCAGCAGAGCCGGAAAGAGAAACTAATTCTTGGGGTGCCTCTGTGGCTCAGTTGGTTAAGCGACTGCCTTTGGTTCAGGTCATGATCCTGGAGTCCTGGGATCAATTCCCGCATCGGGCTCCCTGCTCAGCAGGGAGCCTGCTTCTCCTTCTGACCCTTCCCCTTCTCGTGCTCTCTCTCTCACACTCTCTCTCCCTCATATAAATGAAATCTTTAAAAGAAAAATAAGAAAAAAAGAAAAGAAACTAATTCTCTAGCCTAAAAATTATTTGGAAAAATTATTCCTAAAATTTCCAGGAAAGACCATGTTGAAAATTTCTCTCATTTGCTCCTCGTTCATTCCTTCATTCGTGCTCGTTCTTTTCTCGGACACATACACACACACACGGCACTTTTTTTTTTTTTTAATTTTATTTTTAATAAACACACACGCCACTTATTAAAAAGAGCTCCTCTACTAGACTCACTTCCTCCCTTCCCCTCCACATCAGGCCTGTTCTCCAGAGCTACACCAGCTGACAGAGCAAGTCCTCTCTGCTGGAGGCAACTATGAAGACTTCCACCCCCAGCCATTTTGTCTTTCCAGACCCGACAGAAGGATGAAGAGATCCACACAAGACACGGGGTGAGCCTGCCTGCTCATCTCTGAGTCTAGAGACTAAGACCACCGGCTTCTGGGGGCCGGGCCACGGGCAAGAGCACCAAGCACGAGGTGAGCAGCTGCTGCGCGGGGATAGGCTGAGGCCACAGGCTGCGGAGGGTGCCGAGGCCGGGGCTAGGCCGGGGACCAGAGACCAGCCAGGGTGTGGGCCAGACCGCAGACCGCCAGAACCACTCAGTGGCCTGCGGAACTTCACAGAAACTTGTGAAATACTCAACAGAAATGCCAATCTACCCCCAAAATAAGACTTCAAAAATAAATTATAACCCAAACTCATTAGTACCTATAAAAAAGCAATTCCAAAATTTCACCTTGATTCGCTAGTACTTACGCCATTTTCTGTGCGTTTCTCTGCAGGTACATTTATTACGTTCCTCTGAGTTCTCTGCTCTTGGGTCTGACGGCCGCCTAGAGAAATGAAAGGGCCAGACTTACTAAAAGGCCAGTAAGAGGACACCCTCCCATCTCTTCACTTATTTAATTATTTATGCAACACAAGTAGAATATACCAGGATGAACAAATCAACCCTTGATACAGTTGAAAAAAATGCTTTATAGTTAATTTTTATAAAGTTGTTTAAATGAAATTTCTTCTGTTTCAGAATCTTGAAATTGACTTATATATCAAAAGATTTCTAACACTTAAAAATGGTCAAGATGGCAAGTTTTATATCACGTGTATTTTACCACAACTAGTTTTTATTAAACATTTTTAGAAGACTTCTTTATTATAGCAGGGACTAAAACAGAACTTAAAATCCAGCAGTAAAAACATCGGTGCGCAGAACTGGACTTCACTGGCAGGCTCACAACTGACATGGGGCATCAACCCAAATCAGGCAGTCTTAAGAATTCTCCCTTGCTCCATAAAAATTAAAATACTGCCCAAAAAAGGCTTCAGACTTAAACTATAGAAGTTATATGCCCTGTCGTATTTTTTAAACAAAATGAAGTGTGCTGCACACTTTATGTGCACCTGGTGACTCTGATGTCACAGCAGCTGAAGCCTTTGATGTGTGCAGCGCTGCCCCGGCCCACTCAGCTCTACAGCAGTTACCTAATGTGATTTGAGAATGATCACACCTCATAGCCTGCCTTACTACCTGAAATCCCTGCCTTCAAAGACACATGAACTTCATGTTAAAAAGACAAAATAAAACACAAGAAAACACTTTTTCTTCTCTTTCCTGTTACTCTGAAACATTTGACGAAAAATGCTATAATGGAAGCATGGCTTGCTTCACCTTAAAGCACACATTCTCAAAGCTAGTGATATTGTCCCCAAGGGGCAAAGACTGGTCCTTAGGGAACAGAAAATATCTTATTCTTTTTATGTTCACAGCAAAGATGCGCAGTGCGTAAACAAATACACAGTACCTCTGATGGGGAAAGATGACGGACAAGAACAGAATGTCGGAAAAAAGGGAGAGAAAATTCAAAAGGAGTTAAACAGACGTGAGGGGCATGGTGTGAGGCCGAGCACAGTCCTACAGCCACGACAGCCTCTTCACAGAGTCCAGTTTCCTAGTAGCAGGATTCATTCATTCTCTCTCTCTCTCTCTCTCTCACACACACACAGCTACAGGATTCCCTTAGAGTATGGCATCTGTCAGTTCACAAGGTAAATTAAATTCTTAGTTATTCTTGGTATTTTTAAGGAATAAGGTATTCAGGTTAATTTAATATTCTAGAACGTCTTCCCCTTCCCAACAACAAGCTACCAAGAAGTTAGAGTACTACGAAACATCCAACATCAGAGTTTTACCAAGTGTCGCTCCATCTCCACGGTAAGGATGGCCTTACGTTTGGAGTCAGCACACAGCGAACAGTAAGGGGTGACATTTGGCGAGTGCTTCTGGGGCATCAGCCCTACTGAACCCTTCACCAGAACACCTCACCAGCTGCAGTCACGACCCCATGCAGCGCGCCGAGGAGGACACGGGGGCGGAGGGCTGGGAAGTCACTTGCCCATGACGCACACCAAGAAGGCAGCCTCGCCCCCGCCTGCAGCACGCCGGCTCCTGGGTCCTGCTTTATGCTCTGGCCGTGGCCCTCACTGAGGCACTTTACACTCCAAGCTTGCTCCCTGAAGTGTAGAAGGTGACCGAAGTGAAGGTCCTCTATGCTCTCCTCTAGCTTCCAAATACAGAATTCTCATCACTCTGGTGAGGGGGCTCCTTCCCTTCTTGGGATGTGTCCTACAGTTCTACACAATAAGCACTCCGACGTCATCCCCTTCAAATACTATCAGTCGGTGACTACTGCCTTCCACTTAGCTCTGTGGGAAGCACAGAGGAATCATGTTCTTGGATCCTCAACTCTAGCTGTAAACCGGAGAAGCTCAGCGAACAAAAGAGGGAACAAAGCGCCCTTAAAAAAAAAAGATTTACTTACTTGAGACAGTGGGGTGGTTGGGGCAGTGGGGAGAGGCTGAGGGAGAGAATCTTTTAAGCAGACTCTCCACGGAGAGTGGAGCCTGACACGGGGCTTGATCCCATGGCCCAGGGGATCATGACCTGACTGGAAAACAAGAGCCAGACACCCAACTGACCGAGCCACCCAGGCACCCCCCGAAGGACCATCTTACTCCTCGGGCTCTGAGAGACAGGCGCAGTGTGTATAAGCACAGGCAGAGGAAACCCGGCAGAGGGGAGAGCACTGTGGGGGTCTCTTGTGAGTCGGGGCCCACAGAACATGAAGGTGCAAGAAGGGACGTGACTGAAGGGAAAAGAAGGGACGAGGAGGTCGAAGAGATGGTAGGGTCCTATTACAAATGCCATCTAAGCCAGGCTGAGGAGGGCCAAGCAGGGAGGCAGGGACGTTACTGGAAGGTTCCACAAACCAGTGCAAGCTGTGATGAATTTGATTCTTCAGTCCTTGACGGACGGTCCCCAACAGTCTCCTTCCTGGGAGCTTCCTTCAGCCTGGCATCCTGCATGCTCCCTCCACATCCTGCTCGAGCCCTCAAGGTCCCCAGTCTGCCTTCTGCAAACACGCGGCTCTGCACTGACAGTGGTCCTCTCGGCTCCACGCAGCCCAGCAGCCCCTCCTCGCAGGACCTGCCGGGCCTCTGCGTCAGCACCGCAAGGCGGAGCCGCACTGCGCGGGGAGGCCGCCGCCGAACTGGAAGGTCAGCACTGTCACCTTCCTTAGGACTCTGAGCAGTTCTCTGTAAGTATCCCTAACGCTTTCAAACATTATAAAGTGAGAATAAGACCTTCCTCCCAGCCCACCACCCAGGACATTAACAGTTATGCACACATATTGTATCAGTAAAAGTAAAATATAAAACTTTTAAGTATAGCTAAGTACGGGGCACCTGGCTGGCTCAGTCAGTTAACCGTCTGCCTTCAGCTTTGGACATGATCCCAGGGTCGTGGGATCGAGCACCGCATGGGGCTCCCTGCTCGGTGGGAAGCCTGCTTCTCCCTTTGCCTGCCGCTCCCCCTGCTTGTGCTGTCTCTCTCTGTCAAATAAATACATAAGTCTTGAAAAAGAAAATACAGCTAGGTACAAGAGGGGTAAAGTATTTGGAGAGCTCAGGCAGAGAGCTAAAATACATTCTTGGCGCTAGAATAGCGCGCAGCTGTCAGGTCATCTCGCCCTCCTCCCCGGGGGGCTTTTGTCCTGAGGGGCTGGGCTCCTGTCTCAGGTACAGGGAGATGAAGAGCTGGACCTGGGGCCTCCTGACTCCAGAAGACCGCGGACAGATGGGAAAGAGCCAGAAGTAATGAGACGCTGTCAAAAACAGCACCGGGACAGTATTCACCGCTATGGAAAGATGGTTTTAAAGTAGCTAGTAGCTCATCCTAGGAGCAAAATGTCCCTTATCATAAAATATAAATAAAAGGGGATAATTTGCAGTAAAGGAACCCTTTTACAAAAGGATGTCCCTGTTTATTTTTTTAAATACCAGAAGTAAGCCACAATCACAGTTAAATAACAAGTTAAAGGTCTCTTAACGCACAATGTATATACAGGCTTTTACAAAAAGATTCTCTCGTTTTGTTTAAATTCTAATTCAAAAATAGGTAGCATAGGGCGCCTGTGTGGCTCAGTGGGTTAAGCCGCTGCCTTCGGCTCAGGTCATGATCTCAGGGTCCTGGGATCGAGTCCCGCATCGGGCTCTCTGCTCAGCAGGGAGCCTGCTTCCCTCTCTCTCTCTCTGCCTGCCTCTCTGCCTACTTGTGATCTCTGTCAAATAAATAAATAAAATCTTTAAAAAAAAATAGGTAGCATATTCCCATGGTTTAAAATTCCAAAGGAACAAACAAGTATACAATTAACTGTTTGCCCTCCCTCCCCCGCAGTCTTCCCCTGAAGCTAGCAATGCGACCAGTTTCTTACAACGCTTCCCACGTACGAGCCAGTACAGGCGCCCAAAATTAGGCTTCTGTCTCCGTCACACAGAAGGCGGCACCATGGGCACGAGGTTTTGCGCTGTGCTTACTACCTTAGCTGCTCAGGAGATGGTGCGGGTCAGGGCACAGAGCTGCTTCCTTACTTCGGGCTGAGCGGCAGCCTATCGCACGCACGCACCGCCTCCTCTTTAACCTGATGCCCACGATGCCCACGGCGGGCATCAGGCCACCCCTGCTGGCCGTGCTCCGAGAGCGGCCGTGCTCCGTGAGCAACGTTACGTGGGCCCCATTTTGCACGTGTGCAGGCGTAGCTTTAGGGTAAGTTCTCAGAAGTGAGACTGCTAGGTAAAAGGTTTGGTTCTTTGGGGCGTTTAACAGAGGTCACTAACCTGCCTCTCTGCAGCAGCTGCCACCTGGCACTACGGCAGCATCGCGGACCTCCCCACCAGCACCGCGTTAGTCAATGTGCTCGTGCTCGCCAGCGCAACGGGCGAAACGGATTCACTGTTTTCCCTACATTTCTTTCACTAGGAGTAAGGCTGAACATCCTTTCACACAACCTAGGGCTGAGTGTATTTGCTTTTCTGTGACCTTTTTAAAAAAAACTGATTTTCCTTATCGATTTTTAGGAACTCATATATAAATGTATTTAGCCCTTGCACTACGAGCTATAAATGCTGTTTCCCAGGTTATACTTTGTTTTTTGACTTTGCTTAGGGTAGTTATTGCCACACAGGTTTTCTTTTTTTTGGGGGGGTCTTCTTTTCTCAATAATTTGGTTTTCTAGTCTTCTATACTTAGTGTTATACTTAGAAAGGTCTTGTTCACTCCAAGAATTTTTTTTAAAAAACATTTCTCCGAATTTTTCTAATCCTTTCATGGTTTTATTTATTCTTAGAATCTCGATATTTGATCTATCCAATATTTGTTAAAAACAATAAAAACAATGTCTTTAAACAGGAGGCCTCCTCACGTGTCTGAGTCTATCACCTGACCGGCCTGCAGCCCAGGGAACGAAGTGAGGCCGGGGTGGCCAGTGTGGAGCAGCTGCGGACGCCGTAGCCAAGGTCACAGAAATGTGGGATGCCAACTCTCCCTCCCACCACTTGTGAGTGAAGGGAAAACAAAGATGTAATTTATTTTAACATTTATTCCTATTTTATTTAAATGAACTATGGCAGGAATTAACAAATGGGGAAAGCACTTATCTACCTTGCTCACTGCTCTCGGTGGGGGAATCCTCATGTCGAAGGAAAAACTTCACTTCTTCCCTGCGCGGCCCCCACTTCTGAAGATGTTCATACATCATGTGATCAAAGGGTATGGGACGCTCTAGAAAAAAAACACATTTTACTTATTCCAGAAACAAAATGTCTCCAACCACAAGTAAGAAATACAGATTTAAATAAGTGTATACACATGCATTAGAACTCAAAGATATTGTAAGCATTAAATTTTAACTTTAATGAAGTGAAAGCAGGAGTATGAGTTCCTGGGAAATAATTAAGGTAACACGTAAGCACAGGAAGTGTACATAAAAGCGATTTTGCAACAGTAACAGAAAAATAGCCTCTATAATATTTATTTATCAGGAGGCACGGTGCCTCCCACTCTTCAAAGAAACACATTAAAACAGTGGTTCAGCCTCGCCATTCATTAAAGGGTTGCGTGTGGCGGTCAGACCCATGCAGAATGGACTGGGCACCTGCTAGCAGCTAAGGCACCAGTGTCGTGAGTGTGGCCAGCACCCGCAGAGACCAAAAATTACCCAGTTGATAATAAAAATGAAATTCTACAGAATCAAATGCACTAATGTACTTCAAATAATAAAATAAAGCTAAAAACCCCCTTGCTCACAGAGCAGCGACACCCGTCACTTGAGAAGGGCACGAGCACAGCTGTTAAATGTATGAGGCCCCACTTCGTAGGTTTCACGCTAGGCCACTTAGAACCACGTCACGTGAACAGACAGAAGCCAAAAACCTGGGTTGTTTGCCTTTTTCTTAGTTATTTGAAGAACTATTTATAATTTGGATACTAATCCTGGGTTGGTTATATTGAAAATAGGCTTGTCTTTTAGTTTTGTTGGTGTCTTCTGTTAGAAGTTTAAAAATTTTAAATGTAAGTAATTATCAATCTCTTCTGATTTTGAATTTTTTGTACAATAAATCCTCTCTACTCCAGGGTCAAAAGTATAGTCCATATTTTTTTCCTACAAATTATGAAGTATTGCTTTTCATTGTCTTTATGGAACTGATCTGATTTTGTGTTTCATCCTTGAATTGTCAATTGTCGCAGCATCATACGCTCACTCGAGTCTGCTTCCCCTGGAGACTGGTGATCGCCACCTCCGGCAGCTTAGGCCCCGCGGCCCCAGTCTCTTCCATTCTGTTCTGTGGGCTATCACTCCTCCTAGGCGCACTGCCGGTCTTCACTAAAGCTACTGCTTTATCACTGCGTCTGCCAGCTGAGGTCCCCTTACGTGGCTTATCTTTAAAATAAAACTGTCTTGGCACTGCTTGGTCCTTTGCTCTCATATATCTTTTATTTTATTTTTTTTAAAGATTTTATTTATTTATTAGAGGGAGAGAGAGAGAGAGAGAGTGAGAGAGAGCATGAGCAGGGAGGAGAGGGAGAAGCAGGCTCCCTGTGAGCTGGGAGGGAGCCCAATGCGGGGCTCGATCCCAGGATCCTGGGATCATGACCTGAGCCGAAAGCAGAGGCTTAACCTGAGCCACCCAGGCGCCCCCTCATATATCTTTTAAAGGAGCTGCTTATCAAGTTCTTTTTTTAAATGTATGCTTTTGGGGTGCCTGGGTGGCTCTGTGGGTTAAAGCCTCTGCCTTTGGCTCGGGTCGTGATCCCAGGGTCCTGGGATGGAGCCCCACATCGGGCTCTCTGCTCAGCAGGGAGCCTGCTTCCTCCTTTCTCTCCATCTGCCTCTCTGCCTACTTGTGATCTCTGTCTGTCAAATAAATAAATAAAAATCCTTAAAAAATAAAAATAATAAAAAAAATAAATGAAGGCTTTTGAATGTAATCATATTCATTTATTTATAAATAAAACTTGGGGAGATCCAAAATCTCTGTAAACTGAGTCTTCTAGGGGCACCTGGGTGGCTCAGTGGGTTAAGCCTCTGCCTTCGGCTCAGGTCATCATCTTAGGGTCCTGGGATCAATCCCCGCATCGTGCTCTCTGCTCAGCGGGGAGCCTGTTTTCCTTCCTCTCTCTCTCTGCCTGCCTCTCTGCCTACTTGTGATCTCTGTCAAATAAATAAAATCTTTAAAAAACAAACAAACAAAAAACCCCAAAAAACAAAAAAAACCTGAGTCTTCTAGTCCATGAACATGGCTCTGTCTCTCCATTTTGATCAGGCACCTTGTGTTCTTCAACGATTTTCTTTTTTTAAGTCACCATAAAGGTCTGTAAATCTTGTTTTTTGTTTTTTTAAAGATTCTATTTTTATTCATTTGACAGAGAGAGAGAGACACAAGTAGGCAGAGAGGCAGGCTGAGAAAGAGGGGGAAGCAGGCTCCCTGCTGAGCAGAGAGCTAGATGCGGGGCTCGATCCCAGGACCTTGAGATCATGACCCGAGCCGAAGGCAGAGGCTTAACCCACTGAGCCACCCAGGTGTCCCTAAAGGTCTGTAAATCTTAATCTATTCCTTTGTACCTTACAGATTTTTTTTTGTCTACATAATATATAAAAATAACTTTCATTTTAGAATGATTGCCATCCTCTAGAAAAGTAGCCAAGGGACGCCTGGGTGGCTCAGTGGGTTGGGCCTCTGCCTTCGGCTCAGGTCATGATCCCGGGGTCCTGGGATAGGGCCCCGCATCAGGCTCTCTGCTCAGCAGGGAGCCTGCTTCCCCCTGTCTTTCTGCCTGCCTCTCTGCCTGCTTGTGATCTGTGTCAAAGGAATAAATAAAAATCTTTAAAAAAAAAGAAAAGAAAAGAAAAGTAGCCAAGACCGTACAGAGCTCACCTCACCCATTCCCTTTAATGCTGATATCTCAACTACGGCATCTTTGTCAAAACTAAGAAACTGACGCTGGTACATTACTGTTAATTAAATTCCAGGCTTTATCTGCATGCCATCAGTTTCTCCCCTAATGTCCTCTTCCTGTTCCAGGAACAGAACCAGAAAATGACACTGCATTTATTTGTCTGAAACCCTGGGTCTCTGCTGGTCAATGACAGTTCATTCATCCCCCCCACCCTTTTTTTAATGGCCTTGACAGTTTTGAGGAGTTCTGGTCAGGTAATTTATAGGATGTCCCTAATGTTGACTTGTCTAATGTTTCTCCCATGGTTAGACTGAGGTGACAGGTCTTGGGGAGAACTCCACAGAGCTGAGGTACCTTCTCCTTTCACCACAGCAGGGTGTGTGCGCCATCACCATGACAGATGACTGTGATGCTGGGCTCGACCACTGAGCTAAGGTGGTGTCTGCCAGGTACCCCCCACCCCAACAACTACCCGATTCTCAAGCAGGCAGTTGCCAAATGCTGAGGGCTATGATGTGTGGAGGGGAGGACCGCAGCTGAGGACAATAGCCTCTCTCTCCAGAAACATTCCCCCAACACTTCCTTACATGCCGACAACTGATTCATAAGACCTATTATATCCTCTAGCTCTGTAATAAGAAATGGGAGGGAATTTCTCATTCTGAAGAGTTTAATACCTCAGGAGTTATCCCCACCCCCACTGTTTGCTGTTACCAACATTAACAAATGTGGTTTGTGTAGGTGAAAAGTAAATTGTAGTGTGAAATTTTCATATTTTGGGGGTAATTTCTTTTTTCTTTTTAAGGTTTTATTTACCTGACAGAGAGATACAGCAAGAGAGGGAACACAAGCAGGGGGAGTGGGAGAGGGAGAAGAAGGCCCCCTGCCGAGCAGGGAGCCCGATGTGGGGCTCGATCCCAGGTCGATCATGGGTTCATGACCTGGGATCATGACCTGAGCCGAAGGCAGACGTACAAGGTCTGAGCTACCCAGATGGCCCTTTGGGGTTATCTCTTGCTTAATTATTAATTATACCTTTCTGTTTTATATTTGGTTTGTGTTTTACAAACATTCCTAGAAGGCCAAAGCGGCAATATTTGAAGACAAGGACCCTGAGATCATGACTTGAGCCAAAGGCAGAGGTTTCACCCACTGAGCCACCCAGGCACCCAACAAGAGAAATTCTAAACGTAGGCCTATGCTGAAGAGAAGTGAAAACATGGGCCCATACAAACACTCGCATGTGAATGTCCACAGCAGCATTCTCACAACCAAAAAGTGGAAACAACCCAAACATCCAGCACCTGCTGATAGATAAATGAAACATGGTCTATCATACAATCGGTATTACCAAACCAAACAAAGAAATTAATACTGAGATGTGCTACAACATGGATGAACACTGAAACTATTATGCTAAGGAAAAGCCAGCCCCAAAAGCCACATATTACATGATTCCATCTAGGAGGTACCAAGAATAGTCAAACACCGAGGGCCAGATAGCCATACAGTGATTGCCAGTGCCTAGGGGAGGAAGGAAGGGAAAGGAACAGAGTTTGGCGATGGCTACACAACTTTCAAATAGTGATTTTTATGATGTGCGAATTTTATCTCAAGTTGAAAGGGAAAAAGGAAATGCTGAAATATTCCCACTGCTGCTTGTGCTGGATGTGAGGAAGGATATCAGAAAGACCAGGGGCTCCCAGGCAGTGACTTGGGAGCGTGGCGGGATGACAGTGAGCAGCGCCGTTCATTGTCAACATGAGCGTACGGCTGCACGAGAAACCTTTCTCTAAATGTGCTCTGAGAAGTGGACTTTCTCTAAATCCACCCCGAGAAGTGGACTTTGAGACAGAGAGAGAACTTTACGGGCTGTAGCATAATCAAACATTCACGGTGTGATGTATTGCTCTGCCCCAGACAAGTTTGACATTTCTATAAAGGATCCTGCCATTCCCGGCAATGTAACACGCACGTACTGTGCTGCTAACTCACACCGTCCCGCACGTGCGGGCAAGCGATGTCTTGTTCCTCAAACGTCAGGGCAAAGACAGAAATGGTCTCATCTCAGTTGAAGATGATATCTGTGTTTGCTTAGCTCAAGTTCTACACACAATTATTTTCACAAAAAACGCGAGCACAAAGTAAACTTTAAAGAAGTAAATTAGTTTTAAAAGTAACACTTTTAGGGGCACCTGGGTGGCTCAGTGGGTTAAGCCTCTGCCTTCGGCTCAGGTCATGATCTCGGGGTCCTGGGATCGAGCCTCACATCGGGCTCTCTGCTCGGGGGTGGGGGGGAGTCTGCTTCCTCCTCTCTCTTTCTGCCTGACTCTCTGCCTACTTGTCATCTCTCTCTGTCAAATAAATAAATAAAATCTAAAAAAAAAAAGTAACACTTTTAATGTATACAGGCCTATAAAAAAGATTTTTTTTAAAGATTTCCTTTCTTTCTTTTAAAGAGAGAGCACATGAGAAGGGGGAGGAGCAGAGGGAGAGGCAGAGAAATAGAATTTCCAGCAGACTCCTCGCTGAGCACAGAGTCTGACGTGGGGCTTGATCCCAGGACCCTGAGATCATGACCGGAGCTGAAACCAAGAGTCTGACACTCAGCTGACTGAGCCACCCAGACACCCTTGAGGATCACTTTATAACAATCAAATCCAATTTTGTCCTAAGTCAGTTATTTAACAAATTTGTTGCTTTCATTTATGAATTAAAAATTTCAAAGAAAAGATTATTTTCAAGAAAAGTAAGCTAAGCTTCACCGCCCTTATTTTAAATAATAAAGGCTCCCTACAACATCATGCTTGAGTGAAAGGGGAAGCAAAACAGCCCTATGCATCTTACATAACAGCATCTCACATAATGGGAATCTATGATAAGACTTTCAGGCATTCTTGGATAAGGCAAAAATAAAATGAGTAGGAAACTTAACAAAAGGAAAAGCTGAAGGTTCTATCTCCATACCTAGATATGGATAGGAGCTGGCCCTTCTCTCGAAGCACAAGTACGGCAGGCTAATATGATAAGCTAGCCAACCTGACAGATTGTGATGGGCTGACCTGTGTCCCCCTACTAACTCACACGCAGAACTCTTTTTAAAAAAATTTTTAGATTTTGTTTACTTATTTGACAGATAGAGAGATCACAAGTAGGCAGAGAGACAGGCAGAGGTGGGGGGCGGGGGAAGCAGGCTCCCTGCCGAGGAGAGACCCCCATGTGGGGCTTGATCCCAGGATCCTGAGATCATGACCTGAGCCGAAGGCAGAGGCTTAACCCACTGAGCCACCCAGGAGCCCCACATGCAGAACTTTTAACCCCAGAACTTCAGAATGCAATCCTTTGGAGACTGGATCTTTAAAGACGAAGTAAGTAAAAATGAGGTCACCAGGGTGGGCTTGATTCCAATGTGTCCTCATATGAAGAAGAGACTAGAAGAGATTAAGACACAGACATGCACAGAGGGAAGACAGAGAAAAGGCGGCATCTGTAAGCCAAAGAGAGAGGCGTCAGGAAAAACGTAGCCTGTCAACACTCTGACCTCAGACGGGAGAATGAACGCCTGGTGTTTAAGCCCCCGAGGCTGTAGTACCGCGCTACGGCAGCGCTACCGAACAACTAACTCAGAGCCGCAGAGATGGTCCCTTCTCCAAAGCACGGACAACGCCGGTGGAGCACACACTTCTGGCGCACTGATCACACTCACACGCCACGAGCTGTAGATGTGAGAATTTTCATGCAAGGAGTCTCCAAAACCTGAAAATTTCCGTAAGGGTTTCTCTAGGGTAAAAAAGATAGAGAATGGCTATTCTAAGTGCTTTCCCTCTTCCTCTGAATCTTACCCACCAGATAGTATTTCTTTGAGACTCAGCTTTGCCGTCTGTTTTACTCGGTGATTTAAGAATTTACTGAGGGAAATACGAAGCCAACAGACAAGTTCCTGCCTTCAGGAACTGTAGTCCAATGAGAGATACGAAAACTACTGTGTTCTGTTCTGATAAATACTATGACAGCATTGCAGCACAGGGGAGGTACACTTAACACCCGCTGAGACTCAAGGAAGGGATGAGGGGCAAAGAATGAACAGAAGTTAGCAAGCAAAGGGAGGCAGGTGCTAGGGATTGTTCTAGATAATGACAAGAGCTTACACAAAAGCCAAGGCACATACAGTACACCAGCATGCCGTGACCCTCCGCTGTGAGGTGCTAGTCCTCATTCCTAATGAGGTAAAACAACACGCTATGATTTCAGGTGTGCCTGGAGACAAGGACAGCACCAACCAAAAGACTCTTGTGAGAGGGACCAAGCATTCTCAATGGCCGGGGACCTTCTGGGGCAATGATACTTGATAAAGGAGATTATTCCCTCCCAGAGAAGGCAAAAGATGAGGTGAGGGAGGTGAAGACTTAGAAGTGGTAACAAGTCACAACGAACAAGAGTGCTAAGAGGCTAGGGAAGAAGCAACGGTGAGATAATGATCAGGCTCTCACAGCAGTCCCCCAACAAACTGTCATTACTTAACTGTACCCCCTCCCCATGCCCAGCTTCCTGTCACTGTTATCAGTGTTATCACTGATAACTGAGGACCTACTCTCCTACCTCTGGTTTAGTAATACTCCAACATTTATCAGAGTCGAATTCCTCTCACTGTGCCCTTAAATCTTTGCTCTGGGGGTACCTGGGTGACTCAGTCATTAAGCGTCTGCCTTCAACTCAGGTCATGATCCCAGGGTTCTGGGATCGAGCCCTGCATTGTGTTCCCTGCTTGGTGGGAAGCCTGCTGCTCCCCCTCCCACCCCCCCTACTTGTGTTCCCTCTCTCACTGTGTCTGTCTCTCTCTCTCTCTCTCTCTCTCGTCGAATAAATAAATAAATAAATAAAATTTAAAAAAAAAATCTTTGCTCTGAATTCTAAGGATAACATTAAAAGCACAAGACTTTGGAAGAAAATATTTAAAAATCATATACCGAACAAGGGATTTGTGCCTAGAATATATAAAGAACTCTTACTGGGGATGTACTGTACAGCATGATGACTTTAGTTAATAATACTGTAATGCATATTTGAAAGTTGCTAAAAGAATAGATCTTGAAAGTTCTCGTCACAAGAAAAAATTTTTTTGTAACTGTGTCGTGGTGGGTGTTAATGAGACTTACTGATCATTTCACAATATATACAAATATCATTAGGTATGCGAAACGAATATGTTATATATCAATTATACCTCAATTAAAAACAAAAACTCTTATAACTCAATAATAAAAAGACAACTCAATTGGGGCGCCTGGGTGGCTCAGTTGGGTAAGTGTCTGCCTTTAGCTCAGGTCACGATTCCGGGGTCCTGGGATCAAGCCCCATATCAGGCTCCTTGCTCAGTGGGGAGCCTGCTTCTCCCCTAACTGCCGCTCTCCCTGCTCATGTTTGCCCTCTCCTTCTCTGCGTCAAGTAAATAAATAAAATCTTAAAAAAAGACAACTCAATTAAAAAATGGGCAAAGGATCTAAATAAACATTTCTCTAAAGAAGATATGCAAATGGCCAATAAGCACGTGAAAAGATACTACGTATCATTAGTCACCAGGGAAATGCAAATCAGAACCACAAAGCGAGACTGCTCGCACCCACCGCACAGCTCCGGGCGCACTGACAGGGCTGAACCGCACACTCCGTGGTGAACGGCACGGTATGTGAATTTTATCCTAATAAAGCTACTTAAAAGCAGTGTAAGCCTTCAGCGATTGTGCCTAAGTCCCCTTCAAACTCTCACCGTTGGATGCTCTCATGGTCACCCCAGACTCAGCGAGTTCCAGGTGACCACTCTTGCCCTCCCCAACTCAGGCCCGTCCACACCCACCACCTGTTTTCCCACCACAGAAATCCTCCGGCACTGAAGGTCTTTGTGCAAGCTCGCTCATCTCTTCCCTGCTGCCTACCTTCTCTCACCACCAGTCCCTCGGCTACCTCAGAAGCACACTGTGTCTGTGTTCTTTCTCGTCCTTCCTTCTCATCGCCTCCCTTGCTAAGTAGGGCCTATCTACATTCAACCTCTCCTTTAGAATCCAAGTTATTCTGCAGAATTTTTTGTATTCAGTAATCATATTATTTATGCTGATCTTCTCTGCCCAGCTTCGAGGAAGAGCCAGTAGAGTCAGCCCTCGAACAACACAGAGGTCAGGAACGCTGACCCTGTGTGCTGTCAAAAACTCACATGTCGGGGCGCCGGGGTGGCTCAGTGGGTTAAAGCCTCTGCCTTCGGCTCAGGTCATGATCCCAGGGTCCTGGGATCAAGCCCCACTCGGGCTCTCTGCTAGGCAGGGAGCCTGCTTCCTCTTCTCTCTCTCTCTGCCTGCCTCTCAGCCTACTTGTGATCTCTGTCAAATAAATAAATAAAATCTTAAAAAAAAAAATTCACATGTAACTTTTGCCTCCCCGAGAACTTAACTGCTAACAGCCTACTGTTGGACAGTAGCCTTACTGACAACATAAACAGTGGATTCACACATATTTTTTATGTTACAGGTATTACATACTGTGTTCTTAGAGTAATAGCTAACTTCTTCATTTTTTTGGTATTTGCTATGTGGTTCATCTGCGAGTTTTTCCAAACTGTTGCAAATGCCCCCAAATTTTCCAATATATTTACTGAAAAAAAAAATCCACATACAAGTGGACCTGAGCAGTTCAAATCCGTGTTATTCAAGGGTCAACTGTATTTGCTCTTCACAATTTAGTAAATATTTATCAAGGGCCTACTATTTTAACAGGTTTTATATGGAGGGGAAAGAAAATAGTGTTTCTGCCTTGAAGTGTCAGAGGGGAAAAGCTGATGAACAACTCAGTACATATCAAACATAACTGTACAATCCCAGAAGACAAAGAACTCACGTGATTCGTAGTGAGGTCAAGAAAGATCTCACAGAAGAGCTCCATCTATTTTCCCTACTTATCTCAGACGGCACTAGTAAGGGTCCAATTATATATCTTTTACAAAACGCATCTAAAATCTTATCCCCATGTAATGTGATTTTAATTAGTCAGTTCCTCATTACCACAGATAACTAAGAACCAGAAGCAAAATCTTGCATTTGATAAATATTACATTTTATGTACATAGTCATCCCTACAGAGCTTAATACATACCATTTCCCCTCCACACTTCAGCTAAATGGCAACTGCCTTCTCCAGGTTCCTTGCAAAATTCTACAACATCTCGACATGTTGTTTCTGGTGTTATAGGAACTTCTGTTAGAATCTGTTCGTTGTTGCTCAAGAACACGGTTAATATCATCTGTAAGAGAAAAGATTAACAGCTACAACTTCGAGTCATTATCATAAGGGATTAGTCTGTAAATTTAAAGCAATCCCCTCCATCTCCCACCCCTCCCACGCACACCAAGATGCCTACAGGATCGGTTTTTGGAAACAGGCTAATTCTAAAATTCATGGCTGGTTCAGCTGAAACAGCAGCGACTCTTGATCTTGGGTGTGAGTTCAAGCCCCACACCGGGTGTGCAGACTACTTACACAAATAAGAAATAAAGTTAAAATTTTAAAAATCATGTAGAAAAATTAAAATGTAAAACAACTCAGGAATATTCCCAAAGAAAATAACATTAGAAGGAAACTAGCATTACCAGATACAATAAAGCCTCAAAATAGTAATGCAGTAGTAAATAAGTATATCAATGGAACAAACATGAAGTCCAGAAACAGGAAATGGTAAATGACGAAGGAGATATCTCAAAACTGAGGAAGGAAAAAGACTGCAATGAGTGATGTCTGAACAACTAATATTCCCATCTGGGGAAAAAAAACTGGATCCATACTGCGTATCATTTACCAGCAGAGACTCACACAAGATCAAATATTTAAATATAAATCAGAAATTTATAAAAGTTCTAGAATAAAATCAGTAAATTCCTTTTTTTTTTTTAGAAGATTTTATTTATTTATTTGACAGAGAGAGATCACAAGTAGATGGAGAGGCAGGCAGAGAGAGAGAGAGAGAGAGGGAAGCAGGCTCCTTGCTGAGCAGAGAGCCCGATGCGGGACTCGATCCCAGGACCCTGAGATCATGACCTGAGCCGAAGGCAGCAGCTTAACCCACTGAGCCACCCGGGTACCCCAGTAAATTCCTTTTTATAACCTTGGAGTACTGAAGCTCGTTGTAGCTATAGCTCAAAACCAGGCGCTATAAAAAAGACTGATATATTCAAGCAAAAAGACAAACTGAGGGAAAAACATGTGCAGTGCATATTACAAATAACAGGCTAACCTCCTCAACATACAAAAGGCCCCTAAGGGGCACCTGGGTGGCTCAGTTGGTTGTGTTTGGCTTGGGTCATGATCTCAGGGTCCTGGGATCCAGCACAGCCCTGAGCCCTGCTCAGCGGAAAGCCTGAATCTCCCTCTCCCTCTGTCTCTGCCTACTTGTGCTCTGTCAAATAAATAAATAAAATCTTAAAAATAAATAAAGGCTCCTAAAAATTGATAGCAAAAAGACCAAATATCCAATTTATTTTAAAAAATTGGCTGAGGAAGAAACGCCTCGCTGATTCCATCAGTGGAGCCTGTAACTCTGGATCCTGGGGTCATGAGTTCAAGCCCCACGTTGGGGACAGAGTCTACTTCAAAAAAAAAAGTTTAAAGAACTGTCTGGGGATATACAACAATATATCAGAATAAAATGCAAATGGTCCTTAAACATGAAAATACAGTATCATGTATTAAAATAAACTGTCCAACATTTTAAAAAAAGATATCATTTATTTATTTGAGAGACAGAGTGAGCAAGAGAGAGAGCCCGCAGGGTAAAAGGGCAGGGGGAGAGAGAGAAGCAGACTCCCCGCTGAGCAGGGAGCCTGATGGAAGGCTCCATCGCAGGACCCTGGGATTATCACCTGAGCCAAAGGCAGATGCTTACCAACTGAGCCACCCAGGTGACCCAGTATTTTTTTTAATCTTTAAAAAAAAAAATCCTACCATTTTGATCTAAGATCTAAAGCAATCATAATGGAAGGGATTTCTTTAAAACATTACTCCTAAAATACAATTTAAACCAAAGATTTTCTTTAATCAGTATTATGAAATGTTTATTCTTTGTTCAAAGTCAGAAACAAAAGCTCCATTTGCCCCCAAATCCTCCTCTCACTTAAAATCTCAGCCGTCAGTTAAGTATTTTAGTTCATTGTTCAAGTAGTTTTTTTCTTAGCAGTGTCCTAAATTCCTAAATTTTGAAATTAAACATCTTTAGATTGGTGGTCAGATGGCACGTAACCAAAACTGGTAACAGCTTTCAACTGGTTTCCTTGCCACCAACGTCCCCTCAGTCCAGCCCAGCCTCTGGCTCTGCCAGTTCACTTTCTGAATGTAAATCAAATGAAGTCATTCCCCCCCCCCCCCCCCCGCCCCGGCTTAAAATACTCAGGAGCTCCATAAGGCTGACCAGCAGCCCTTCCCAAGAAAGTTTTTTTCTAGTATATAAACAGGAAACAGGTTTCTTTACTGAGCACTTAGGAGTCGAATGTTCATGTGAACCTGGACTTTTTCCCCCAGACACTCTTCTGGGGCCTGGATTTCCTTGGAAAGCCCTCTGAGAAGGCCTCCAGACTACCGGCTGAGCTCCGGCTCCCAGAAGAGCAGACCCAGTTATACAAAACTTCCTGGCCTCCCAGGCCCTGCCCCTACACACGCTGAGCCTTGCTCCCCGAACTCCAGTCCAAGTTCTCTCCGGCTGCTGTCCCTGCCCGAGGGCCTGACCTGCTCGCCTGCAAACTCCAATCACCCCCCAAAATTCAGTTCACAGGCCACCGCCTTTGCAAAACCTCCCTTCACCACCTCCTCTCACTGAGGAGGTGACCTCTGTCCTCCAGTTACTCTCACACCTATCTTTATTACATCATAGCATTACGAGGTCTCCCGCCTGCTCACCAGGCTCCAAGCAACCAACTTCGGGACCCGTCATTTCCCCGGGGCCTAAGCAGTACCCGAGCCCGGTTGTCGGCACACGAATATCCGGCTGACTGCACGGACCACACGGAATACAAAGCCCCCGCTGCACCGGATGACGGGGGCACCATGGCAGGTAACCCACATGCTGCCTGTTCAGTAAGCAAGCATTGCCCCTCCGGCTCCTCTTGCATATTACACGTACATTTGAATTTTATAAGCAGTTGAACAGTTACTTCTGCTCACTAACCCATAAGAGGAAATGATTGAATTGGGGGCTTCTGAATACTGAAATAAACAGCCTGGAATCTATAGAATTTGGAATAAAATAGTAATTCCTGGATCCAGTACAAACAAGTCCAGAACTGAAGGGCCTTAATGCTTTCACAGTTTCAACAAAACTGGAATGCCTTTTTGCTCTTGTTTACACATATTTTACACTTCTAATGATACATTTCGTCATTTCAGAGAAAATGGTTTTCAAGATCTAATAATATATTTTCCTAAATCATGCTTTATAAATAAAAATTTCGAATTAGTGAAAATATTTTTTTCTTTTTTCTACTACCTTCTCTTTAAATGTTAACACCGCTGCTCACTGGCAAGCGGCCGAGTTCGTGCCCTGCTTCCCTCAGCTCCTCAGAGCACGGATTCCTCACCCCCATGCCTGCTGCAGTGCCCGGTGCTGTGTTCGCAACACCACGAGGCAGGGAATGTTGACACCATCATTTGCTTCTGGAAGACAGCAAGAACTGGGATGGGCACAGACCACGGGCGCCACACGGCTCCGTCAGCACGCGCAGGGCCCGGGCTCACTTGCTCTGAGCAGCACCGTCCCTGACGAACATGCTGTCAGAGTGAAGGATGGGACGACGCTATTTTGGGACACTTTTGAATTACGCAGACTTTTCAGCTCACAAGTAAGATCAACATGGTGGGGTTGGGGAGGAGAGGCAGAATGGCATAGTTAGGAGTCTGGACATTCAACTGTAAAAGCTAATTCATCCAAAATTCACTAAGCATTACCTCAGCTTTTAAGCTTTCTGTTATAGTCTTTAGTAAACCCTATCTTTTCTAATCTTAGCAAAATTCATTTCCTCTAATCTCCAATTATTCAATCAAAGCTAATTTCATTATAATCATGACAGATTTAGAAGCTTTCCAGATAAAAGAAGCTGGCATTGACCTGGATGGTACAGACTTCCCTAAACCATCACCTAAAATTAAACTGAAAAGGCATGTGACTGCCATTATTCTAGCAAGATTTCCTTCACTTAAGAAACTAAACGTCTTGGGGCGCCTGGGTGCTGGGTGGCTTAGTCGGTTAAGCGTCTGCCTTCCGCTCAGGTCATGATCCAGGGGTCCTGGGATTCAGCCCCAGCGGGCTCCCTGCTCAGTGGGGAGTCTGCTTCTCCCTCTGCCCTTCCCCCTGCTCATGATCACTCCCTCATCTGCTCTCACTCTCTCTCTCTCTCTCTAAAAAAAAACCAAAAACCAAAAAACCAAAAACCAAAAAAGACAACCAACTAAATATCTCCAACAAAAATATTATATTTTATGGATCCTAGAAGCACATTTTGTTTTGTTTACATTTTAACATCTCTGAAACCATAACATCTTAGAACTGATACCTGTCACAATCTGACAGGTAGTGTTATTTTTTTCCTCTTAATAATAACTATAAGACAGAAAGAAGAAATAAATGCAATAGGATTGGGGAACTAAAGAAAACAAGTACAGAGAAAAAGAAAAGTTAAAGCTTATCCTTCCTGAAAGATGAATATGCTGAAAAGAAGAGATTTCGGGGGTGCCTCCGTGCCTCAGTGGGTTAAGCCTCTAGGTTCGACTCAGGTCTTGGTCTCAGGGTCCTGGGATCGAGGCTCTCTGCTCAGCAGGGAGCCTGCTTCCCACCCCACCCCCGACCCCGCCTGCCGCTCCATCTCCTTGTGATCCCTCTCTCTGTCAAATAAATAAATAAAATATTTAAATTAAAAAAGAGAGATTTGGTTAGCCACACTTAGAGAAACCTGCAAAGGTTTTCATACTGTGTGCTGTAACACACACGGCAGGTGAGGACTGGACACCTACTGGCCCCAACCACCCTTCAGCCCAGACGAGCCACGGCCCACAGACCCTGAGCTCCCTGCTTCCCCTTCTCAATCACCCACACACGTCTGCCTCCTCTTGGAAGTTTTCCCGACACCAATGTTTGCCCTTCCTGAACCAACCTGAGCGAGAGCCTCCTATTCTGCTGATGACAGACTGCGGCTATTTCCAGTGCCGCATTCTTACACTACATAATGGGTGTTTTCTTGATTACATCCTCTACTGGAACACTGT